ATTCCATTCGGGAACCGTCTTACATCAGTCACAGACAAAGCAGAGGTTAGGAAATATGAAACAATTCTGTACTTGACAAAACGCTGAGTGCAACCGCACGCATTGCACAGCTGTGTGGCTGATAAGTGCAGAAAAGTGCATTTTGGAAACTACACATGCAACAAACAGTCCCAGTCGGTTGGAGGATGAATGAAGTATTTTAACATCTGAGTAATTGACGCCGTCAACTGACGTTGGTTTCCAGAAGCGTCTCTTGGAGTTCTGTGTTATTCATCAACACTTGTACAGGATCTCCTCAAAGTGCTTTATTTGGTGCATTTGGAAGTATCTAACACACCGTGAAAGAACCGCAGGCCTCTACATGCATCGGACAAGTGACTGGGGTATTCGTCAAATGACGACGATAATCAGGTGAGGGAAGGCAGTGCCGCGGTAGAATAAATGACGTCCTCACCTGCGCCTCGCCCGACGAACACTGGACTCCACATTTTGGCGTGTCTTCGGTTTGTCTTCCCTGGGGAGACCCGCAACGCCTTCTGAAGTGGGAGAACCGACGAGGACCCTGACTGCGTCGTCATTTCGTTCTTGAGGATCGACTCTAGTTAAGGTGGTTACGGTCTCCAGCCATTCCTCCAACTCTTCCAGCACGTCACGAGGTGTTTTTCTGCATTCGCGGGTCACCAGAAGATTGAGGGTCATCCACATTCCATGGCGGTCGCTCCAGGACGACATTTCTTCGTCAGCTGGAAAATCAGAGACTCAGATCCGGAAGTTAAGCGTGGAGATGAAAAACGAAATGCGATAGGCTGCCATTTTATACGCACTTTTAGACGCAGTAAGATTATATTTTTGAGGAAATGTGTAACAGTAACGCATCAGGAATACTGAAGGAAATTCAGAGATGTTAATTTGTGTGGGTCGAGACAGTGATTCTGAAATAACCTGAATAATTCTGTTCAAAATGACCATTTGGAAGGACTTTAATCTTGATTCTTCGAATTCAAATAATGCGAAATGTTTCCGCAAGGAGAGCGAACGGAAGGCTCGGGGGGCAGGGCCTGCCTTTCGTATTAACGCAGAATGACACGAACTGAATGGCGACTCATCGACACATTTTGCAGAGCGTTCCTGCGGGTCACATTTCAGAAATTCCGCACTTCAGAAGACGAACAAACACGTGTAGTTGTGCAAGGAGAAAAATGTAGCACAGCTCGTTGTCAGGAGCAGGCGA